GCTTTTGTCTGCTGTTCGGCAGCCTGTTGCTCAGGGGAGGGGGCAGCGGGCGTGGGGAGGTGTCTGTTCCGCAGCCTGTTGCTCAGGGGAGGGGGCAGCCTGTTGCTGGCAGGAGGGTGGGGGGGCAGCGGGCGGGGGGAGGCACTTTTCCTCTGCCCGGCAGCTCTGCGGGACCCCAGTCGGAGCCGGCCCGAGGAGGAGGAGGATCCTAGGACCTAGGTGAGCGAGCCCCGGGAATGCTGCTGCGCATGTGCGGGAGTTGCCTCACCCCGTTCGTATCTAGGGATCCGACGTAAGTCGGATCCACGTAAGTCGGGGACTGCCTGTATACACAATATTACACTGACCAAACAAAAGTGATTTGAAGACCTATTTTCAGGAATGACAAAACACCAAGCTCTGCAGATGAAGAAATTATTGTAGAATCTTCAAAACTTTTGTGAAACCTGAGAACTTGAGAAGTGAGGTTCATAAAAAGCCATTTCAAACACAGGAGACAGCATGAGAATGTAAAAGAGCAGAGTGAGCAGCTGGTGGTTAAGAGTCCAGAATAAAACACGATAGACCAGAATGAAAGTGTCAGGCCTTGTAGGCCAATGAGAAGGGTAGTCCAGTGGTTCAGGGAACTAGCCTGGAAGTCTGGGTACAATTGCCCGCTCCACCACAGAGTTCCTGTGTGACCTCAGGCAAGTCACTTAATGTTTGTGCTTCAGGATAATAGTTCCCTATCTCACAAGAATGTTGAGAGTGTAGCTACACACAGGTAATGGGGATACACAAAAAAGGAAAGCTAGATGGAAAGGAAGGTGAAAAGTGTGATTAAGAAGCCACAACCTAATGTGAACACCAGGGGAAACCAGCAAAGGATTTTGGGGGTAACATGCTCAAAACAACAGAATGGGAAGCAGTACAGGATAAGGGAGCAATGCTATTTGAGAATACTAGTAAGTCTTCAGTTAACAGGGAGCTTCAGTTATTATATAATAGTTATACTGTAAATGTATTGAAATCAGATTTAGAATACCTCAATCAGTGACAGAATGTAGCATAGTATGTGGTAAAAAAAACATGCTAAATTGTTCTACTAGCAACCTGTTTGAAAGAATAGCTCACTCTACAATTATAATAAAATGGTAACAAGAACAAAGGATGCAATACCTCAACATGCTTAAAGTTGCAGGTTTCAAGTTAACTATGGCTCTGTCTACACTACCACTTATGTTGGTATAACTCAGGGCTACTCAACTTTGGAAGCCCCTGGGGGCCACAATGATACTCACAGCACATGCTGAGGGCCGCAACTTAAGTGTGGTTGTATATACACATGCAAATACATTTGCAAATATATGCCAGTAGCTTCTTTCACACTGACTGGCATGAATACAAAGATTAAACCTTAAGCCGCCGCGCTGGACCCAAACGTGTCCAGTGAGAGCCAGTCAGCACCTCTTAGGCTTTGCTCACAAGGCTAAGCAGCCAGCACTTCCCACAATGTCCTGGCACTCCCAGCATCTCCTCCGTGGGGGCTAGAAATGCTGACACCCTGTACTCTGTGGAGTGTGTTCCCAGTGGTGGCCATGCTCAAAGGATCCTGCCCGCAGGCCACACGTTGAGTCCCACAAACCCAAACTGCTCTGCAGGCTGCAAACAAACAGGCTGCGGGCCACATGCAACCCTCAGGCCATGTGTTGAGTAGCCCTTGTATAACTTGTGTCATTCAAACCTTATCTATCCTACCATGGGCTGTTGACCTAAGTTACGCAAATTTAGCTACATGAATAAAGTAGCTGAAGTCAACATATTAGTTCTGCTACCTGAAATCATCACAGTGGTAAGCTGACAAAGGACACTCTCCCATCAACTGTGTCTACTCTTCGCCTTTTCCTGTAGTACAGAAGTCGAGAGCATGCTCAGCAGTCGATCCTCATTGGATCGATCCCTACCCATTGATCCAGCAGGTAGCGAAGACAAGCCCTCGGGGGTGTGAATATGCCACCCCCTTGAACAACATCACTGTACAGACCCAAATGCCATTGTGGACAGCACTATAACAATGGGAGAGCTTGACAGTGCTGTAGCTACTATTGCTTGCTGGGGTAGCTTGAGTCTATGGGAGAGCCCTCTCAGCAGCACAGCTAAGTGCTCTATGCTCTTCAGTGTAGCCATAGTCTATTGCTATGTATACGCTAGAAACTTGACTTGTGAACTGACTGACATCTTTTTTTAACGCAAATTTGTGTGTTGGTAAAAGCCCTAGTATAGATGCAGTTATATCAACATAAAAGTGTTCTCAAGGTTAGTTTATTGTGTCTCTAACAGTAGGCGCATTAGCCAGTATTGCTATACCAGCAAACCTCTTCTAATGTAGATCTGAGCTACAGTTAGTGCAACAGTTTTTTGTACATTGCTTGCTTCAATAAAATGTTATACAATCAATTGTTCAAGACCGTTTCTCTATGCCAGGAGAGGTCAGCAGCCATGCAAACCTGGCATTTAAAACTGCAAGGAAGGCTAACTGTTCACCAAAAAAAGTTTAAGCTAAAAAGCAACAGTGATTTGTTAAACAGGGCAATACAGGATTTAGCAATCTGCCACCCTTGTCCTTTACCAGTACTTCTACACCTGGATAAGTGGGAGAACACTGCTGTTCGCTTCCTGCAGCTCCCATTGGCCGAAAACAGCTATCTATAGCCAGTGGGAGCTGCACTCACCTATAACTACGGGGGCGCAGGTAAATACAGCAGTGGTGACCTGACAGTGGCTAATCCCAGGGAACCAGATCCAGCCCACAGGTCAGTATTTGCCCACCCCTATTTTATAGGCACTGTACTCTAGGAACCAATCACTACTTCAATAAAAACTGCATTACTGATTTTGCCAGCAAGCGCGTGCATGCAACCCCGGAATTTGTGTTTAGTTTACAAGAACAAAACTCTGTCAGGACTTGCCTTTATGCTATATTGTTATTGTGCCACTATAAACTACACTGTCTTCAAAGGAGTTACCCAAAGATTCTCGTTTATTATGGCAGTACAAGTTTCACTCAGAGCAAATGAACATAGAGCACAATGAGAGTCAGGAATCGCTGAGTTCTAAGCATAGCTGTGCTCCAACCTTACTATGTAAACCAAAGACACTTCAATTCTGATACTTAAGCTTCCCCTGCACTCTATATGAAGCTCTAAATAAGGAAACTAACCACAAATGGTCCTGAAGCACCTTAGAGAGACTGACAAAAAATAGAGATAGTATCAGAGCTTTTGTGGGCACAAGACACTTCTGTATTACCTTCCCTTGTAGTGTTGTGTCTGACTTTAGGTTATCTGTGACCCAAAGAACTGACCTTGTCTTCATTAGGAAGGTTATCAACTAGTCAACAAGTCAACTAACCAATAAGCAGTAGCTTATCGGTTAGCACTATCGACTAGTTTGGGATGGGCAAAAGGACCTCCACAGCCAAATTTGGCCTGCAGAGGCCCTGCCGCTCTCACCGCTCCCAGGCCAATTAGGCACTGTGGGAGCACACAAAGTTTCCTCCCACCCTGCGAGGGGTGCAATGCTTAAAAGCGCCACATACTCCTTGAAGGACAGGTGCAGGGTGAGAGGAGACTGTGTGTGCTCCCCCCACCCCCAGGCCAATCAGGAGGAGACATGAAGTCTCCTACCACTCTGCAAGGGGCTCTGCACTAAAAGTCAACTACCAGCTGCACCCTTGCAGAGCAGGGTCAGGTTGCAAGAGACTTCACATGCTCCCTCCCTCCCCAGACCCTGATTGAC